AATAACCATGTTAATTTAATCACTATGAAAGGGACTCTGCCAAGTTAAGAAACATAAATTTTAATTATATGCACACACACACATCTTTGAATTATAATATATGCACAATATTTAGCTGTGACACCAATAATACTATGGTTCATTAAAACAGGAAGAATTCTTACATAACATTTTATTTTTCATTGATGATTTTTGTTGACTTGATGCTTCCATTTTGTGTGGTTCTATTTCCTGTATCTCCTACACTAACCAGGTGCTATTGCGTTTGCAAGACTAATCAAAATGAAATTTATCTACAAACCTTTTTAAAATTTTTATGTAAAAGAGTAAGCTTTTAGTTGTAGTACTTTTACTAGTACTTATTACTTGTAATAAAGATTATGTTCTTTGAAATTGCCATGTCTGAAGAAGAGCTTGTGATACAAACTAGGAGTTACAATAGGAAGAATTCAGAACAATTAGTGGGTAGCAAATGTTATTACCTATATTTTAAAAGGATTTGGATGTGATTCAAGGATTTAAAGACCCATAAATTCTACATGAACATTTGAGAAATTGATTGAAACAGTAATTAGGTATAAGCAGTAAAGCACCTGGGAAATGATGATATAGGAGGTTCTAACTGATGACTTTTTTTTTCCTACCAAGGAAAAGCACATCTCACTGCTTTCTTAAAATTCTTTACATGATATGTAAAGGACTAATAGATAAGGGGTTTGACAGTTTACTTAGACTTTCTGAAGACCTTTGGTATGTAATAGGCCTCCAAAGAGAAACAAAGCATTTTCTTGGATCAAAACTTTTAGAATAAGAGATGAAACAAAGAACAAAATGAAACAAAGAACTTTCATTCTAGAAAAAGGCTAACAGCTGGTGCATCAGCGTTTGGTGTCTGGTCCAGTGTTGTGTAATACAGTAATGAACAAGCTGGGGAGAGGGAGTAAAAGATTTGTACATACTACAATGTTATTTTTAAAGCCATTGTGGCCAGGGACGTCTGTGCAGGTCTCCCTAGGGAGATCTGAATGTGCATTGTGAATGGGCAGTGGGATGGACATTTTAATCTGTTACCTGTGCGCTTGAAGGTATTACTTATGGGATGGTCTTGTCTCTGTTAGGAGGTTCCTAATTCTGCTCGGTATGCAGCTTGGACATTGCAGGACACTGCCTTAAGAGTAGTATAATGAGTATTGTAATGCATTTGTTTAAATGGGGGATGTGGCTTCATCTGAAAATATCAAGTGCAGTATTGGTCCATCTTGGGAAGATTATTGAGGAGTAAGAGGAAGTTCGGAGAGGTCTGACAGTACAAAGCCGTATGGAAACTTTCCCCCAGCAGAGTAATAGAAAAGATTGTGTCTGTTTATCCTCTGAAGGAGAAGAATCAGAAGAAATGACAAAAAAGTTTGGTCAGCAGCTTCTATTTTCCCTGTCTTGTAGCAAGAACAAGGGGGCAGGCCGTAAATAAGGTGAAACACTCATTTCAAACCGTAGTTTAACTGTTGAACTCACTTAGGTGGGGAAACATCGAAAGCAAAAATGTTTAAAAATTCAGAAGGAGCTGGGCTATTCTGTGTGTTTCCAAAAGAGCCAGATTTAGGATATCTGGCAGTGATACTGCATTGATCCATCAGGACTGACCTCTTAGAGATCAAGTTGAAATACGGTATTAGGATAGACTATTTTCTTTGCATTTCTCTCCTGACAGACACTCCTATCTTCTTCTGCAGTGTCTGATGTGACTGCATAGTATAGCACAACAAGTATCAAAGCAAACAGTGGCAAGTGTGGGGTCGTGGCTTAATTTCTCAAGCCTAGAAGTCTCTCTCTGTCCTTGTTTGAAGCTTCTGACACTGGCCGGTACCTTCATAAGAAGGACAGTGAGTGGAACGGACCACACCTCCCTTCCAAACAGCAGTTCCTGTGGTCTAGGAGAAGTCTTGATCTTTCACATGAAATCTACATTTCAGGTGTTGAATTGACTTCTCAGTTTTCTTTATGGTACAGGCATAAAGGAGAATTATACTTCTCTAGCTTTTGTGGGAAAATCCTGGAGAGTTAAATAGGAAAGAGAAAATTAGGGATTTAGTGAAATGAATTTAAGGATCCCTGGTAGTGATTCTCTAATTAACTAATTAATTAATTAACTAATTCTCTAGGTTAACTGAACTATTTTTTAGATTTTTGAAGACTTTTATCTCTGAGGATTCAAGAAGTGGCTTGGAAACGTAATTTCCTGTCTTCATTACTGTATCTGTTACAGAATAGCCATCTTCAAGGAAGGATTGAATTCCTTACAAAGATTGAATTCATTGCTAAAAGGTTGTCTGTGGACCTCTGAAGGTTTTTATACTGTAAACTTTACATTCCAGACAAGATAGTGTCTGCCATTTCCGACTTTCTAGAGCTACTTAGGAATGAAAATGGACTCCTAGAAGCTACCAGTGGAGATGAAAATGAAGCAGTTGAATAGCAGTCAGCTTAGTGAGCAGATGGGAAGAAGATGCCCTGAGTTTCTTTTCACTGGATTTCCTGCTCACTGACTTAACTTCTTGATAACTCCATCTCTCCATCAGTAAACTGGAAATAAAGGTATTACCTCACACTGCCTTGTCAGTGGGATGCTAAATTTAATAATTAAAAAACTCTCTGAGAGTTTGGGATGAAAAGTCTCCTGGAGTGTTGCTTGTAGGAGGTAGCAGCGCCACAGAAAACAACCACACCTATTAAAGACAGCTGCTGGTTTTTGACCTTAAAGCCTACCTTTCCCTCTGACTTAATGTTCAAAGTCTCTAGAACAAACAGGGACTAGTTTTACTTTTATATATGTTCTACTTATCCCTCACCCGTTCCTTGCTCATTCCCTTTTCTAATGCGTTCATTTGCTGAGTGCATCGGTATCCAGAGATAGGCATAGCTTGTCACGGTGAAGACGTGTTTGTTTCCGATGCCCTTGAGCCTGCTTGAAGATTCTTCTCTTGCTGAATATATGATGACCCCTTGAGTTTTGCAGTCCCACAAGGTTCTAAATACAGAGCAAATGCCCTTTTGCACCTAAGCACAGGACTTTGAAAACAAGCCAAGCCCACAGTCAGAGATGATTATGGAGGCTCCTTAGTGACTTTAGATTCAAGTGTTGGGATTTGCACAGAAATCAAGTTTAAAATCCCTTCTTTCTATTGAAATGTCTGGATTTAGCATCCAAAGGAGGGTACTAGGAGTTAATACAGGGAAATTCAGTCTGTATGATTCTCTGTTGACTTCTCTGTCTTTTCTATAGCTCAAGTAAGAGAGAAGTTGGGGAAGGTGGCATAATGCCGTGGGTGTGCAGAGCTTAACGCTGAAAACAGAGTCCTGATTCAATAGACCTCCTTGTGATGAGAAGGGGGATCAATTCACAGTTGACCCCATCCCATTGTGTGGGTTGTCCTGGGAGTTTCCTTTGAAAATCCCAGTGGTTTGGGTTTTCTGCATGGTTTGTACTCAGCCTTTCCCTCCATGAATAGAATAGCTTTTGCTGGAATTTTTGCTGGATTTTCTGTGGTTATTGGCTGAGCAACTGCTCACTTCAGAAGACTTGAGCAAGCATGTTGTGGAAGCACTGATCAGGGACCCTGAATCATTTGCTGGCTTAGAGTTTTTCATATATAGAACAAACATATTCCTGGGACGCAATTGCCCCCAAGAAACAGATTAGACTTTACTATCCCAGGTGGAAGTGTTCATTCATTATTTGGATTGCAGGAGTGATTTGGGGCTTTATAAACACATGAATTTCTGCCCTGCAGAGTTTACAACTCACGGTGATAGAAAGGCAGGGAGCTTCAGGCAGACTGGGGAACACAACACAGTCCTAAAAGATGAGAAGAGGACAGAGCTGTGAAATAAGGACACTTGACGCTGATTTGTGAGCATCGGTCCTGTACATTATTACTTTATAAATCTATTGGCCTAGAGGAAGGAATTCATTTTAGAAGGGAGGGAGTACTTGAGATATCCATACCTGTCATTGTCAGGTAAAGAGACATTCAGGATGTCTCCCTGCCATAGGATTGTTCTGAATGAATGCCTGCATGAGTGGGGTAGAGGCTAGGATCTACAAGGAAAACGGAATTCTTCCCTAGGTGTATTTTAACATCTTGCTAAAATTAACATGCTGTATTTGTCTGTCTGCTGCACTGCCTCATAATCTAGTAGCAGCATTCAGAAGGGGAATAAGGCTCTGTTCCTTCACTTGTACAGCAAGTTGCATCGAGCTTCCTCATAAACCCGCACTGTCTTTGGAGTCCTGTGCCCTAGGCCTGCCCCCGAGCCAGCCTTTGGCTCTTTCTGCTGTGACTGGGGGTCATCCTGTGTTATGGGCTAGACTCTGTACTCGTAGCTGTGCTCACTGGTGTTTCTTCATTGGTGTAGGCCCGTTTAAAACAAACTCAAGATTCCATCTAGTCAGTATTACATGAAAATTCAAGACACATCCCTTTGGTTTTTCAGTTTAAGTTCTCGGCATTGGCCCCACACACTAGAGCTTTCTACTTCCCCATGTGCAAAACATGCCCTGGTGTAGGAGAATGCCGCTTGGAGCTGTGCTGTATAATCTGTGCCAGATGAATTGCATTAAACTACTTCTTCAGGAGATCAGATCTTCTTATTTGTTATTTCAGTATCTTAGAAAGTCCTGATTTTGTTCTTTATTTGAAACATAGGGAGTTTACATAAAGGAGAAGTGGCCCCCCCTCCCCTCATTTGTTTGCTCCTGATACAATATGTCCAGCATTTTTTTCCTGTAAGCAAATACAGCAATTGAAAAGATGCCAGGTTTTCAGTAAGATAGAAATGAATCCTGTGTGGAGATCCTTATCAGTTAAAAGAAGAACTTGAAGAACTCTCATTCAAGATGGAAACAAGCTTGAACGTCTGTCAGTCTTCTGCTTGTCATGTCTGTCCTTCTGCTTGTTAGCTGTCTGGGGAGACACATGCAGTCAATGTATTTTGTTTTTCAGAAGTTGATCTGCCTCTGAAAAAAGATGGGTTCACATCAGAAAGTACAACTCTGGAAGCCTTGCTGCGTGGAGAGGGAATAGAGAAAAAAACAGACACTAAAGAGGAAGACACTATTCAAGAAATCCAGGTAAAGGAGGGCCCCATGCCCTGACAACAGGGCTGGATTTTACAATTTGTCTCTAAGCCTAGCAGATTTGGTCCTGTGGCAGAACAGTGCATCTGTTTGTGTCATTCTACTGTCACAATGTTATCAAACCATTGTGCTACATCGTGATGCTCAAAATGAACTTGGGAACTTGCACACTTCTCCTGTCACAAAGATCTCGGTCATTTGGCTGTGTTCTGCACAGCTCCGGTGTTGGAATTTGTTTTGCAGTACTATGAGATGGTTACATAGAAAACTGACAAGCAGAGATGGGTCCCAACCATAAACTGAATTTTAGTGCCTCATACTCAAAGTGAATTTGGACATGGATTTGAATTTGAATTCACAGCTGTTGACTGTAGACAAAAAGTGTTGTTGCCTTGCATTTTTTTTCTTTCTTTTTTTTTTTTTTTTTCTGAGAAGCCTTCAGAAAGTATACAAGCAAAATAAATAATTAAAAATATTCTAATCTTAATTATCTCAGTTATTATTAGCAATGCAGGTATGAGAAATATTGCCTCTTCACACACATTATGGTTTGAAAGTTATTTGTCAAGTTTCTATTTCATCCTTTAACAATTAAAAGTCAAAACGCATCTGTGGGTCTGTCAGAGAAGGAATTCAGCTAATATAATGGGTTCTTATGTAAGTAGGTGTCACTTTTAAAGACATCTTACATCACTAGGAAAGCAGGCCTCTCGCAGGGGAGCAGCAGCACATCTTTGGTGGTGCTAAAATGCCATTGTGCTATTAGTGACAGAATCATCTAGGTTGGAAAAGACCTTGAAGATCATCTAGTCCAGCCATTAACAGAGCACTGGCAGTTCCCAACTACACCAGATCCCTCAGTGCTATGTTAACGCAACTCTTAAACATCTCCAGGGATGGGGACTACACCACCTCCCTGGGCAGCCCATTCCAACGCCCAACAACCCCTTCTGTAAAGAAATACTTCCCAATATTCAGTCTAAACCTTCCCTGGTGCAACTTGAGGCCATTCCCTTTTGTCCTATTGCTTGTTACTTGGTTAAAGAGACTCATCCCCAGCTCTCTGCACCCTCCTTTCAGATAGAGGGCAATGAGGTCTCCCCTCAGCCTCCTCTTCTCCAGACTAAACCCCCCCAGTTCCCTCAGCCGCTCCTCGTACGACCTGTGCTCCAGACCCTGCACCAGCTCCGTTGCCCTTTAGTATCCATTAGTGATTTTTAGTGAGAGCCACTACAACATGTTGCATCTATACCTAAAACTAGTAAAAATTTGAGTGGGCAGCCCCATGACAAATGAAACAGAAGAGCATGGGCATCAAATCTGTGTTGCTTGGAGCTCAGTCCTACTGGTCTATTTGATAGAAATTTCACACATGTAAGGGCAGCAAAATTAGGTCTCCTGTTCCCAGTTACAAGGGTAAAGGAGCACCATCAAAGAGAAAGCATCCCATGCTTGTGGAGTGGGGAAAAGCTTGGCGTGAGGCCCGCTCTGTGTTTCCTTCTTCAGTAGTTCAGTAATATCTGGGTCTGTTAAGCTGAGAGCCCTAAAGCTCTGTTTATGCCTGCTTCCAAAGTCACAAGAAGTCATGGTGCAGCATTCTTATGAGGTTGACAGGTGTCTTTGGATGTCACTGTGCAATCTGAGCTCCCAAATTATCCCCAACAACAGTCCAAGGAAAGAGACTTTAGAGACAATAGAACTGACACAAGTCCGGGCACTGCAGAGCAGGAAGGGGGTGCAAAAATATACACAAAGTTTTCAGCTAAACCGCTATAGCTGTAACCTGTCACCTGGATTCTCGTTTCATGAGAACAGATCCAAAAGACATGTCTTGCTGTTGTTTCTTATGCAAGCACAGCTTATCTGGATTCAGTCTATACACCAGTGATTGTCGAAGCCTTTACTAGTAGCCAGCTTTCAGTGTGTACTTCGGCACCTGGCAGCTAGAATGTACCAGATTAAAATAATGGTCAGTGCCTTTTATCTGTGTGACAAATAAGAGAATGCAAATCTCTCCGTTGTTCCTTTGCATGCTCTTCTGTGCAGTAACTTGAAAGGGCCCAGACTCAGTGGTGGTGACAGTGAGCATGTCGGATAGACATAATGGTAATTCCCACGTCAGTCCCAGCCACCCACCACCCTCTCAAGCTCATAGTATCTGTCAGGAGAAGACTTGGTGCTTAGCTGCACTGAAGTACATCAGGCTGGGAAACTGTTTTAGAAAGACAGAATAGGAAAGGAAAAGTTACTTTGCTAAAAAGCATAAGGGTTCTCCCCGCTAAATAAATGCAGTCTATTTACAGTTGGTATTTAACAGGGTTGAGGATTTTGCCCTACAGTAAATTGGTATTGAATGTGTGTCTCCATCGTTCACTGGAGAAGGCTTAGAATTGCCTTTTGACCATGCATCAGAAAGGCTATGCCCCTTCTATCAAGGATTAAAGTCATTACCCTGGCAGTGTCATCAAATTCACACTTGGTTACTTATTATCTCTTTTCTAAATTGATGCTGCAATTTTAAACATAGAAAGTGGTTTGTAGTATTTCTCTTAACTGCTCTTGTGTCGTATCAGTGTCGTAAACTAGCTCCTTCCCCTCCCACATACGATATGGTTGCAGCCTTCTCTTTTATTTTTTTCGAGATACTTTAAGATATGAAGCAATGTGAAAATAAAAACTTGCATCAGTAAGTTTGCTTATCTTCTTACATATCACTAGTCTCCTCATGTATAACATTTTCCAAATGTTTCAGTTTCCTAAGATGAAGTCAAGTAATATATGAAATTGAATGAATTTTGAAGAAATATTTTATGTATGCAGAACTGGAACTTGCTTAAATTTTACACCCTCTAGTATTTAGTACTCTAGTATTATGTGCAATTGTATTTCATGATGTTCTGACCTCATTAACAGCCCCCTGAAATTTAAAAATAAAAGGAGCAAACCCCAGATGAAGTCTTGATCCCCTACCATATTCTAAGAGTTGTTTGTACTTTTTAAAAGGGACACTGTCCAATATTAATCTTAAAAATTTAGCTCATAAAATAAGAATAAACTCGTATAGTTTGTCTTCTAAATGCAGGCTTTTTTTAAAAGTGAAATTTCTGTTGTGTTCTTTCCCACAAATTCAGAATTTGGTGCTTGAGGTATGTAGGAAGGAGAGAAAGCAACTGTGATTTGTTCCTGTTCTCCCTGTGCAATCTCTCAAATAGCTCTTAAGTAGAAATTACAGGGAAGGGACAAATACAGTAAGACTGAAAAACCTCCTCATCAGTTTAATGTCACTGATTTGAATCTGCATCATGGATGCATGTTGTAATTTAAATGAATGGTGGCATGGCAGATATGAGTCAGTGATTCCAGACTGGTCTCTTATGAAATGGCACCACACCTTGAATGGCAGGAGTGGCAGGGGCCTATTTCTCTATTTCTAGCAGATATGCCAAGGGTTGAGGGGATTTCAGCAGGACTTCTTTCCACATTCGTGTTGTGATGGTTTCTCTTGCCTTTGTCCATGCAATGTCTGACTTTGTATGTTTTCAGCGTGGCCCGCCTGTGTTTGATTCTATAGAGGTTACATTTCAAAAGATCAGGATAAAAGGATTGAAATTCCCTGGCCTGGGCATCTCACAGTTATGTGAGATGATGAATTATTGTTCCTATTGAATAATTAATTGGAGGAAATACTATTATTGTTCCTGTTAACTTCAGTGAGACCTGTACTTCCTCAGCATTCCCATGCAGCAAGACCCCTGTTTCCAGATATCAGAGTTGTACCTGTGGTGTAAAACCTGAAAGATGTTATTTTCTAGATCCACTAAACACGCTGGAATATATGGAACAATTTTCTCTATTTTTGCCAAACAAAGAAAAGTGTGAGCTGCCAAGGAGAAAAACACTGATTTCTATCTTCTTGAAGTGCATTTTCAACATTAGAAGAAAACAAAACAATCTAAGGTGCAAGAAACCAAATTAAAAAAATCATGCAAACAATTTCCCAGACAGGGCCTGCAGTTATGCATACTAATACTTGTGTTGTCTTGGGATATTGGTGCTCAGTGATGCCACTATTATTTCTTAGGAACCTTTTCTTCGAGTTGACTGTTATCAGTGGTATTTTTTTAATAAGAACTCCCTGGAGAACTGAGGGTGGAAGAGAAAGCAAATTTTGCTTTAGTGGAAAGAAGTAGGGGGTTCTGGGATCTGATTTGACATTATATCATTAATCAAGTGTAATTTAATAACCTGCAGTCTCTGTGGTAAAGAGCAGCAGTTGGTTGTATGTGTCATCTTTTCTTCTAACCATTCCTGTTTATTGTTCAACCACAGAGGGTTTTAGAAAATGATGAAAATGCAGATGAAGTGAATGAGGAAGAGGATTTGGAAGAAGATATTCCAAAACGAAAGAACAGGCCTAGAGGACGGGTAGGTGGAGAGCTTACTGGAACGGAAAGGAGGGAAGCAAGGAAGCAAAACTCTTGTTTTCTAGTGTGTATTTGACATATGTATTGTATATGCAAAGTGTATACCCATGGATGTATGATAATAGTAACACTATAGGTAATTTTAAGTCATATGGTCAAAGATTTTTAGTATTTTTTCAGTTTATTTTTGTGAATTACCAAGAAAAAAAGATTATTTTGAGAGTAAAAAGTTGGGGTAAATTTATTATAGTGGTATATTTACAATTGTAATGTAAGCTGTAGTAATTATGGTGACATCCTGCTATTACAATGCTCTTACTTTAAAGCAACATTTATTAATTACAGAAAAGCAACAAATTCAGTCATGATAGCCAAAAAAAAAAATAATTAGTAAGAGTAACTTGAACTGTATTAGTACATTTTGCAGCTTTCTCCAAGGTATCACTTTGTGGCTGACACTGGCCCTCTTGAGCCCATGGCAAATCTTCTATTTGGTTAAAATGGGCAATATTTTATCTTTAGGGGAGTCTGTGTCCCTTCTCTTACCTAAGATGTCTTTTCACAATTTCAGCAGGGCACCAGTTAAGTAATGAGGCCAACGTTTTAAAACTTAGAATCAACATTTTCAATTGTGGCCCCATAAGATAGGCATCTAAATAAACATGAAGACAATTCTCAGCGGTTTCAAGCATTTTCATCTCTCTTTGGCTCCAGTGGGTGCTGCAGGGGCACAGGAGCTCTAGAAGTACCTTTTGATTGTTTGTAGGAGTCGAGCAAGAAGGGCTATGTTTTAGGCTAAATAAGCAGGATATAACAGCTTTTGAATAAGAGACCTGAAACCACATTGAATACTTGCAATGTACTTATGCATCAGACCCTCTCCTTTGGTTTCCTCTGTTGTTGTGTTGTTTCAGTTTTCTGCTCCTCTTTATTTTGGAGCTTAAGTCCTTTAATATAAGATCAAAGCACTTTAATAATTGGATAAGTATATATTTCACCTTCCTTATTCTCAAAATCACCTGAACCAGTTTCTTTCTTTCTTTCTTTCTTAGCCAAAGACCCCCACCTGGAAAAAAATTTTCCAGAAAAATGTAAGTTTCAGAAAATTTGTATGAACCAGTAACCAAAACCAGGCATTAGAATCGATACATGCACACAAGCTTGACTGTAGCGATCAGCTAATATTCCAGGCTAACAACTCTTTTCTAATAAGTTGCTCTCACATAAATTGCACATGCTGGTTAGGGTGAGTGAAAGGGAATGAATAGCTAAAAGAGATATACTGCTCAGGAGAAGGGAATTTGCAATATTCATATCTCCCAGGCCTACACAAGGAAAGTCCTGAAGTTACTGTTATGTGCAAAGTTTTACTCCCCTGTTCAGGAAACTTCTTCTCTGCTACTGTAGGGAAAAGAGTTAGAGGGTACTAGATGTTCCATTAATTGTGAAGCATGAATTTATGTCTTTATTTTCTGCCCTAGAAATGGCCCCCTATTAAGTACAGGAGCAGCAGGGTCTCTTGCCTTTTTCTTGCAACTAACTCTCGCTCTGCTAGTACCCTGGCTTCATTCAGTGCAAAAAAGAGAAGTCTGAAGAGTGCCAAATACTTTGAGCAATTTTCGTTTTTATTTGATGGCATCAATAACCAAAGCAAAATGTGGTATAAATTAGGTTTTCAAAATTGGAGCCAGATTCTCTAGCTGTTGAAAACTGGTAAGCCTGAATTGCATCTGGTCACGAGTGTTTTGCCACTCTTCAAGCAGCCCTTTTCTAATGTGAGCCTGACCCAGTGTAGGGAATTGAGGCTAAGGATCTGAAATAAGAGGACGTGAAACCTGGGCAGTACTTTGTTTCTGGGAAGGAGTTGGTTAGGGTATTTTTAGAGGGCAGAAGAGGGGGAGGACATGCATAGGAAACTAGATCCTGCAGAGTGTGGCCTTTGGGGATTCAGAGAAGGGGTGAGAAGGGTTGACAGCATCGATGCAGGATTAATGCGACAGAATCACTGCTCTGGACTTTCCAAATTGCACATGCCCCTTCCTTTCCCTACAGCGTTATTTTATTTCTAATCCCGGACTCTCCATCTGTCCCTCTGGCCACTCTCTCTGGCTGCTTCAGGGTTGCTCCAAGGCTTCTGTGCCATAGCTTCCAGGCCTCACACATCAAGTCTGGTAATCTTTGCTGCACCCTGTCAGGAGAATGAAGGCAGTCATGGATGACTGAATTCAACAGACTGGAGTGCCAACAGCAAGCACGGGGCACTCAATTTAGTGCCTCTGGGGCAGCTGCTTGGTTTACTACCCCCTCAAGGCTAGCCCCGAAATTGTGGGAGCATTAGGAAGGACACCGAAGGCCCAAGAGGTGGATTTACGGAAAGAGCTTTCTAGTATCTTTGGTGGACTGGGAGACTGTGGTAGGAGCTGGGAAGGATAGTTTGCTAGGAGATATGAGAGGAATGCAGCTGCACCTGTACAGATTGTCTGCTCGTCAGCTGGATATCCCATGGGACAATTTCAAAGGCACTAAAGACATTTAGGAACCCAAGTCCCATTGAAAGTCATTGACTTGAAAAATCTCCCCATGTGTGTTCAGTGCATGAAAAAGTGTATCTGACGTGTGGTCATGACATAACGCTGTACACTTGCATTTCTGTAGAGAACGGTTTGAAGGGAAACAGCTGGCTGTAGGACTAGTGAAACTGAGCAACAGACCTTAAATTACCATCCTAGTCTGAAAGATGCCTATGTAAAAATAGTGCCTTCTTACTCAACAGATCTGTTCTCAGTGTGTAAACAGAGTCAGACCTACTGACTAGTGACAAAAATAAGACTTTACAGCTTTTTCACAGCCCTGAAAAGCCAATGCAGCTGGTAGGATAGGGAAATTAGATCCTAATCCAGGTACCAGCAGAAATATTTATTAAGGGCCAATCACTTGTCTCTGTGAAGACTCTCTGATGAGCTGAGGGTTGTATAGGAGCTGCCATGGACTGAAATTCAGCTAGCAGCACATTTTGCAGTAATGAGGGAAGAAAGGAACAAGCCTGGGATTGATTTCATAGCCCAGAGGGGGTTTACAGAGCTGGCAGTCAGAGAGAAAATAATGCAGACTAGTAAAATGATTTTATGTGATATGGTCAGTAAAGTAGCTTCCACCAAACAATTGTTGCTGGGGCCTTTTCCAGGGTGAAACTGCTTTTCAGTTCACCCTTACAAATCTCACTCTGCACGTGTATGCTGATCTGCACAGAGATCTTTGCCGAAGTCAGAGCTATACTTGTCATACCTAACAGTATTTACCCATCCAGACAGCTGCAAATCCATGTCTTTCCTTCAGGACTGTGTTAAGTTAGACCCGAGCAATCCCAGGGAAATAATATGTGAAGTTTTTATAAATCTCTGTTTTGACAGACTTTGTCAGGCCAGTGTAAAACTGTTCCTTGTTCCTTGTCTTTAGATGTCCAGCGGAATGCAGCTCAAATAGTGCTAGTTCAGTCCCAAATCCACAGAGAGGGACAGACCCCTTGGTGTTTGGGGTACTAATATTCTTAGAATTTCTGTATCTTCTCCAGATTTACTTGAGAAAGCTCTGTCCCTTTCTTATTTTCATATGCAAAAGCTTGAAGAATTTGAGTCAGACAGTCTTGTCTAGGGTGAGAAACATCAACAGTTTAGTAAGAGGAGCAACAGAAACAGTTTAGTTGCTTTTACCCAGGAATAGAGTAGCTGGCAGAATTAATAAGGGGCTATCTAGTCATCCACCTGCAGATCACTTCCTTAAATAAAGATCAAGTCTAAAATTATTGTCATCTACACACTGTAGCAGTAAACGTGAAAGAACTGAAGGCCTTGGCTCAGGTCCCAGTTCCACATCACAGCCTCCACCACTGGACAGGTACGAGCTGGAGCTGTCCTCTTGTTGGCATCTCAGCTGAGAAGGGTCAGGACCAAGTAGCTTTGATGCTGAATTCCACTCTTACCCCTGGAGCTCAGGACAGAGCAGTCTGTGCTGTGGAGAAACAGAGCTTTTCAGTTTCCAGGGCTGCCAAGTTGGTGTGTTGTAGGAACACAGAACTGCGGAGAGACCTTTCTGGGTAATTCCCATTCTGTTATTGCAGGTAGCCATGTTACCTAATCTTTTCCACTAACCGACCAGAGCTCCATTTTCTAATTAGCCATGGTACCTTTGTCCAGAAGGCCATTTCAAAACAGTGCTTTTCAGCTAGAAAACAAAACAAAACAAACAACCTCCCTTTGAAAATATTAAAGGAAATAATTTTACCTCTGTTTTATTTGGGGCTTGTTTTCTGGCTGATTTAATTGTTGTATTTATCCTCTAAAACCTGTTCATCTATTAATTCATTCATATTCAGTTAAGCAAGGTATTTGAACATCTTCAGAAATGAATGTGTGATGATACTCAACTGAATATGTGCTGGCAGTGACCTACTGCTATGGATGAACAGTTTGGGTTATCAGTGGAGGGCATCTCCACTGCATTACAATGTCCATTAACATAGTGCATATCTTAGGAGATGACGGGTCAAGCCCACCCTTGAAAAACCTGTATAGAAGCTGAGGATTTGTTTAGTTTATATTGCACATTTTTCATAGGCGGGTGAGGGGCACAAGGAGACCTGAGTGGCGATGAAATAATGTTAACAGTTCCTCTTGTCCTTGCAGGCTCGGGGATCTGGAGGCGGCAGGAGACGGAATGATGCTGCCTCCCAGGACGATCATGACAAACCCTATGTTTGTGACAGTAAGTAGCACCCAGACAGCTGATTCTGCTTCCAGCCTGGTCCTACCAGCTCAGTGCACTCAGGGCTTCATCTTTTTCCTTCCAGCAAAATATTCGGCTGCTCTCTGACTTGCATGTTTGCCACCTGCTGCTGCTGCTGCTCTTGGTGTTTTTGCATGAAGGAAATAAAATTAAGTCTTCGTCAAGACTCCACTTCCCTTTGCCCTATAATAAATCATCTGTTTTCTTTCTCTTTCTCTTTTTCTGGCTTCTCTGCCTTTTGTCTTCCTTTTGCCCATGTAAGATTCACCCTCTATTTCTTTCTCTGTTTCAGATAGTTACAAACAAAAGCATAACTCAAAAATCTCCGACAAAGGTACTTCACCCCTGTTGTATCTCTTCATATACTTGGTGATTCTCTTTCCTTCAGTCCTTTTAAAATCTCACTGGGCTATATTTTGAAGGTCTTATTCTCATCCCTCACTCAGAAAGTACTCTTGTGGCATCATCAGGAGCTGAACCCTCCTAAGAAACAAACACAACTGGAATGATTTGTTTTGATACAGAATCCCTTTGAATACTGCCATGCTGTTTGACATCTCTCAGTGGGACTTCAGGTGAATTAAGGCATTGCCACAACTTAAAAATTATACCAGAGCCCAATGCCTAACCTGAAGAGGGATACCAGAGTCCTAATATGAGGAAGGACTCCAATATATTTGATACACAATGTATTCTTTTTTACGGTCTAGTCCTTGATGCTTTCCTCCTTCTTTTGATATTCTTTTTTGCTTCACTTTGTCATTTCTGTGAAGAGTGTTTATCTTACCCACATGATTTTGAGGTCCCCCATCTTAAGGCTTACTGTAGAGTGTACATGCAATAATAATTTGTGCTACTGGGTGCCTTCTGTCCTATAAGATAATAAGCTAACAACAGTTAATAGAAGTAGGAGAATAGCAAGAGGTCTTCACTTCTGTGATCCAAAAATGTTTGGTGGTTTTGAGGACAATTAGAATCCCCCTTTCTCCACTATTTACTTATCTTGCAATGTTACTGACCAACAGTTACTATATCAATCTATGGAGGCGTTTCCTGCTTATTTTTAAAAACATGAAGAAATAAGGAGCATGCATGGTAAATTACTATATTCCATGTGATCAAATCATATTCTTTTATGGTGAGACCACATGACTCTGCACAGTACAGCAATGGACGTGCTGGGTATTTTGTTTCAGCAAGGTGAATATTCTAAGGACAATGAGTAGAAATGGAAAGACTAGCAATGTGAATGGGAGTGTCTGAACACATGATCAAGGAGGAAGAGTCAGGAGATTTGTGCTGTGAATAAATAGTTTTCTTTGTGTGTTGGAAGAACTAAAATGTGTCTTCTAAGACTTTTCTGGGAGCCCAGTATCTATCTTGCTGACATCCACAGCTTTCCTCTGCTGGTATATGCATAACTGTCTTTATCTCTTTGCTGGAACATCCTTCCAAATCCAAGGACACTTGTCAGCGGTAGTAGTTTTGAACGTAATGACTCTTTATTGTCTTATCTTGCTTTGCTTTCGGATCTTATAGAGAACTCACAACATGCATAGTAGTGATTTGCACAGAGTAGATAAAACATCTAAGATACCAAAGCAGGCAGCAGAAATCTGGGCTGAAGTCAAAGTTCTGGTACATTGTTGTACTGATGGAATTTTGGCTTGGCTTACATTTTGTAGCATAAATTTCCTCTTTGGTTTTGGAAATACAAACTTTCCTATTTCATTTGGCTGATACCTTCATTTTTAAAAAAACGTATAGTTAGAGGGTGAGTCATAAGGAGTTTTGGAATCCAGACTTTACCCAGTGATTCCTCCTTTTTCATTGTAGATAGCTGAGAAGAGGGTTATGTGGTAGCAGAACTCTTTTACCTGACTGTGGAGCAGAAGGAAAGAACTGTCCCAATTGTAATGCCATCATCCTGAAGTAATATCCTGTCCTTGTTAACTTTCTGTAGAAATATTACATACAATTAATTGTGAATAATTGGCTTAAATTAAGGCCTCTTTCCTGCTTGGGTGGACCTCTTGAATCGATTTTTTTCTTTCAAATTATTTGCTAAATATTTTTATGGATGAATCTCAATCTAATTGTGTGAGGTTAGAATTGGTTTGCAGTACTCCACATGCAGATGTTTTGGGCAGATAGTTTTATTTTACATGGAAACATGCAGGTCAAAATAATGAATCTGTTTCTTGTTTGGGAAAACATGATTCCCACAATCACATTATTGGTATGAATAATTACCTTAATGGCTTGACACTTTCCTTTTTCTGTATATTATTTAATTTACCTCCAGGTTGCTTTTTCTGCCAGTGTTCTGATATTTCAGTCTGGAAAGTAACCACAAAGAAAGCTTAAGCAGATTTAAACCAAATTAATTTTCTTATTTAACTGCATGGGCACAAAAAATTATTTGTGGTAAAGAACTACTCTGCTCTTTTTTCATAGTTACACATTCATATCTTTGTGAAACAAGAATATATCACCAGGTTTCATCAGTAATAAAAAGTTATGGGAAAAAAATAGTCTATGTGTCAGCAAGATGATGCAAGAGCAGTACCCAGCTGACACTGGGTCCCTTATTTTGGAAGAAAGCAATGTTATTTCTGAAAAGGCCTGCGTTTTTTGGAAGAGACATTTAGCTATACACCAATATTAAACCTGGTCCCAATATTAAAACTGACTGGAAATATGGAATTTCTGTACGGAGGAAGGTTTTCAAAGCTCAAAATGTTTTAGCATCCTGTGCTTTTAAGAGAAGGTGGTTGGTTGATTGTTTGTGGAACAAAATACATCAGTTGATTTTATTGAGCATCTACTGTATCATAAGTTCAGAGTAAGATGTTTGACCATTCAAAGCACTGATAACATTGCTAACATCATTGTGAAATGCCTTGTTTCATCAAATCGGCAAGTGGAAAACTAGTTGGTCAGATTTTCAACCAGTTGCATCGGATAGTGTTGTGCCTTGAGCTCCTCTGGGATAAATGCTTGGATAATGAAAGTGGCAGGGCAGCCTGCTGTGAGATGGGTATAGGCTGGAGATGGTAATGTAGCCAAATGTGTCAGCTGCTGTATGAGACCAGACCCAGACCCAGCTTGAACACCTGGCCAGGAGATAGAGCAGGTGCCTTAAAGAATAGTGAAAAGTAAGGCTTGAGGAGCAAAGCAAACCCTCTGATGTCAAGCAAGAGAAGTGGAAGATATGCCACCACAGCTGTTCACGTTAAACTGGGCATGTAACTTTTAAAGGAGGGATGGAGTGAACAAATGTATGAATACCTATGTATGTAGTAAGAACTGATGTCATGTCATCGTCAAATGATCAGCTGGCGAACCGTCAGTTCTACCCCAGCAGTCTTCTTAAAATTCTTTCTATTTTTGTATTGTTTATTATAAATTATTCACTATTAAAAAAAAAATAAAAAAAAAGAGCAAGCTTCTCTGAAGTTTTATCTAGAAACTTGTATTCTGGTTTAAAAGTTGCAATCTGTTGTAACACCTGAGCTTCATGACTCCAGATGTCTACTTCCTTTAGCCAGAGCAGTTAGATTGTGCTGAATCTCTACAAGTTATTAACTTTCCTGATGTCCATCCTCATTTGTCTGCTTTCATTCTTCTCATGTTCCCACAGAGACTTAGCGACGTACATACTTCCACCTTTGTTTTCTGTTCCTCTATCTATGGAAGATTTCTTTTACCCATCTCTAAAAAGAGTTGTTTCTTTCTTTTCCTTTTACCAATATGTCCTTGTCTCCTTTTAGTCTTATTCCTGTATAAACTGCTATTTTAGCATAGCAACTTATGTTTGTATTGTATCCTTTATTCATAGTCCCTCTGAGGCCGAGATATGTATTCAGATCCATTCCTTGTGCAAAATGAGAATTGACTCAAACCTTCCTATGATCTCTGCTGGATCAGTGACTAATGCAACCTTGCATGTACCCAGAGACACTGATCCTACAGTGTTTTGTAGAGGCTGATTCTTTTGTCAGAAACTTCATTTTCAGGTTTCTCTAGTTATTTAACCTGAACTTTCTCTGCTGCAGTCTAAGACCAGGAGTTCTTGCTCTGTTCTTAGTGGATAACAATGTCTTCTTTCTATGACTGTAAACAGTTACTGGGGCTTCTTTCAACTGTGTTTTCTTCAGATCTTTTACTAAGATTGTTTTTTTTTTTTTTCTTTGATGAATCTCCAAAGGGTCTCATATAAGTAGTAGGGGCCAGAACTAAGTTGAACGTGCTGTTTTGAGGATAGAAGCAGTTCAGAAGATGAATGGTTGATACATTTACATGTAACTTACAGTTACTTGCAGAACTTGGATTTATGCAACTTGCTCTGTTATGTATTTATGAGAGGTACAGATCTGGCTGACCTGATAGGTTGTTTAGTGAACCATTTTCAGTGCATGACACTCCTCTCCAGTGCTGTGTCATGTTTCAGTCTCAAAGGAGTTTTCATCCTTGTCCACCATATAAGTTGATATTTAATATACCATTTGCTATAGCTTCTTGTTCCTTCCCTGTTCAACTTGCTTCTACTCAGGCAGATTATCTATCAGCTTTAGTTTCCTATTATACTGCTTTGTCCTGTTTATAGTGTGTTTTATTTATTTATACTAGATGTCATATTAATATTTACTAATTATGTTACTGTTTGAAATAATTCTTTGGTTAATGAAGCTCATATGATATATTTTTATTATTATTCCAGTAGTTTTGTTAACAGTCAGTTCTCTGCATATTTGATTCTTTCACTCTCTATTCCACCCTTTGAATTTATGATGAAAACAGAGGTGAGCGTTGGGCCCAAAATAGACCCTTTCAGGTGCTTGAAGGTACCTTATGAAGTTTTTTTTTAAAAATAGGCTCTTAATTCTGATCGATTTCAACTGGAGGTAGGATCCTAAATATTTTTTCCTGAATATCCCACTAACTGCCTATCTACTTGTATTGTGCCTACAGATCAT